TTGGGTGAGAGAATGATTGCTTGATTAGTACATCTCTTAGGGTAGAATAGTTTTGATCTTTATGCTCATGGTTGAAGGATACGCCATCACAAGTGGGTCTGACACTTTAATCTTGTTGAATATGAACTGCTTATTGACGCCAAGTTGGTTCCTTAGATACCTTGTCTAGGAGTACAACATTGAGAATTGCTTGCTTATGAATGCTTGATGCTTGCCTTTGTTAGAAATCCCCATTTTAACTCTTGAAAGCCACTGCCCCACAATTGCTTAGAACCTTGAGTCCTGCTTTTAATTAATTATCTTTAAGATCATCTTGCTTAGTTCTTGCTTTAGTAGTCATCTTGCTTAATTTTTGCTTAGTCATTGCTTTAATATTATTGTTTAGCTATGTTCACTTGCATTTAGTTTATGCTTTCTTTCCATTGCATTGTTAGGTTGTTAGACTTGTCCTTGTTCAATCAAAACCCCATCATTGCTTAGCTTATGGCATTGTTTGCATCTTATCTTCCACAAATGAATTGATACATGATCTCTATTCTACAACTGATTAGAGGCTAAGGACATTGAGTTTAGACCTGCAAAACATCTTGTTTCATGAAGCTTATGTCAAAAGGTTGATTACTGATAAGGTTGGATCCAAATTTGATAATTGCTACTTCGTTGGTTATTCCAAAGAAACCAAAGGTTATTACTTCTACAATTGTACCTAGAACAAATTGTTTGTTGCTCGGAATGGTGTTTTCCTAGAAAGAGAATTTCTTTCTAAGAAAATTAGTGGGAATAATGTACAACTCGAAGAAGTTCGAGAAACACAGGAGATTGGTCAATCTTGTCAGGAAGATGATCAATTAGATCTACGAAGAGTCGTAGAATATATACATGTGGAACCTGAGGTGCGTAGGTCCGAGAGGACACGTCACGAACCTGATAGATATGAGGTTTGGGTGACAGATCATCATGATCTACTGATTATAGAGAGTGATGAACCTACGTCTTTTGAGGAAGCAATGTTAGGCCCCGATTCCGAGAAATGGCTATAAGCCTCGAAATCCGAAATGAAATCCATGTCGATAAACAAAGTATGGACTTTGGAGGATATACCTGATGGTGCTAAAGCCATCGAGTGTAAATGAGTTTTCAAGAAGAAAACAGATATAGATGGTAATGTACAAATATACAAAGCTAGATTGGTGCCTAAAGGTTACAAACAAATTCATAGTATAGACTATGATGAAACCTATTCCCCAGTAGCAATGTTTAAATCTATTTGGATTCTCCTAGCGATTGCCGCTTATTATGATTATGAAATATGGAAGATGGATGTGAAAACAGCTTTCATTAATGGAAATCTTGAAGAGGATGTGTACATGACACAACCCGAAGGATTCACAGTTCCTGGAAGTGCTGGGAAGGTATGTAAGCTTCAACGTTCCATTTATGGTTTGAAGCAGGTATCTCGGAGTTGGAATCTTCGTTTTAATGAGGCAATCAAAGAGTTTGATTTTACTAGAAACGAAGAAGAACCATCCGTTTACAAGAAGACTAGTGGGAGTGCAGTTGCTTTCTTAGTATTGTATGTAGATAACATACCACTCATTGAGAATGACTTTCCTTTGCTTAATTCTGTACAGACATGGCTAGGAAGTTGTTTTTCAATGAAAGATATGGGTGAAGCCGCTTATATTCTTAGAATAAGAATCTACAGAGATAAACCAAATAGGCTTATTGGATTGTGTCAAGATACTTATATAAATAAAGTTTTGCATAGGTTTAATATGCATGATTCTAAGAAAGGTTTCATACCAATGTCTCATGGCATTACTCTTAGCAAGACACAGTGTCCGTCGACACATGATGAGCGAGAGCGGATGAGTAGAATTCTATATGCTTCTGCTATAGGATCTATCATGTATGCTATGCAATGTACTCGTCCAGATGTTGCATGTGCTTTAAGCATGACGAGTAGATACCAATCGGATCCAAGTGAAAATCACTGGACAGCTGTCAAGACCATTCTTAAGTATTTGAGAAATACTAAAGATAAGTTCTTGGTTTACAGAGGTAGTGATGAGCTCGTTGTGAGTGGTTACACAGATGCCAGATTTCAGACAGGCAAAGATGATTTCCAATCACAATCTGGTATTATCTTCTGCCTTAATGGAGGAGCTGTGAGTTGGAAGAGTTCCAAGCAAAGCACTGTGGCAGACTCTACAACCGAAGCTGAATACATTGCTGCTTCTGAAGCAGCAAAGGAGGCTGTTTGGATTAAGAAGTTCATTACTGAACTTGGTGTAGTTCCTAGCATCTCTGGTCTGGTGGATCTGTATTGTGACAACAATGGAGGCAACGCTCAGGCGAAAGAACTCAGATCACACTAGAAGTCCAAACACATTGAGACACGATAACATCTCATTCGTGATATTGTCGATAGAGGAGATGTGAAAATTAGCAGAGTCTCAACAGATGCAAATGTTACAGATCCTTTGACAAAACCTCTTCCAAGGCCTAAGCATGAGTGTCACTCTGCTGCTGTAGGTATTAGATTTCTTAAGATGTGATAATTCTAATGGGAAAATTTTATTTTATGATATGATGTTTATGTTTACATACATTTGATTTTATTTTCAAATTAATAAAAATTGTTCCAGTATTATTTAATTGTATTATTAAATAGTAGTCCCAAAATAGTTTATGTCATTCTAATAGGTCATCAAGTACATGACTTGATCATGAAACCCTATTAGTGGAAAAATGATATAAATTATTTAGGTCCCTAGTCAAGATTATTAACATAGTATTTAATAACTATAGGTGACTAGTATGTGAGGTGATTGATGACTATGTTTCGTGGAGTTATTGATATGTTGTATCAAAGTCAATCACATAGATATGTGTTGGAGAACACAATATCGGACTGACCGCTATGAGAACTTTATAAGATTGTTATATGAGTGTCATAAGAGTTTCTCATCACAACTATAGAGTATAGTCCTTTGACCTGAGTTCATCATGTATTCTTACATATGGATTGGTTCACTTTGACTTTGTCAAATGTCAGCCGTAAAAGATGATTATAAATACATTGATTGGATATATCATAAATTGTATAAGGATCAGGGATGGAACAGGATGAAATTTATCTCTCCTATATAACAGGAGATAAATGTCTCTGGCCTATCGAAGATTTAATAGTGAGAAATGCATGATCGTGCTCAAATTGATTGAATGTCAATCGTTTGTTTTTATTAGTATAAATCAGAGTTTGATAAACGTGATCTAGCTTAAATAATGATTACACCGTTTCTTGCCTTATGCTCAGATCGAGATATAGAGATGAAGGGATTGTAGGAATATATACTTTCAGTACAAGTAGGAGACTGTAAGGAATGTTCTGAAATCATTTGTATTTTACTCTGATTAAAATTGTATTGTCAAGGTTGACAATCGTATAATATTAGATGATTATAATGTTTTGCTAGAAACCGCTTATAATCTATGGATTGAGAATCTATTACTAATATTATTCGATCCTATAAAGTTACATACCTAAACAAACTGGATTGATAACTACGTTAGAGTTTCATGTTTAATATTATATATATGATATATAACATTTGTGAGTATATATATATATATGTGAATATATATATGAACATTATAATTATAATTGATAACTAAACATGTTAGTAATCGATATTAAATTTAATGCGCTTAGCCCAAGAAATCTAATGATGGATTAGATTAACTAAGTGTTCAGTGTGTGTATATATATATTGTTGTCAACATGACTTAAGTTGTACCTGCTTGTGAGTAATAAATAATACAAGCTGCATACCGAATCCTAGAGAAAAAGATGAATTGTTCGTCATCAAGGAGATTATATCTCAACGGCACTAGCATCCCGTCTTGATTCAGTTTGTGTGCGTGTGGATACCGATAGAGGCGCTACGCTTTGAGTGCTACAACCTTGATATATATCCGTTTAATTCCACTGCTGAATATTCAGGTATATTCAAACTCTATTATGTAGATTTATTTCAGAGATCCTGCTAAACAAATTCATAAATAGATTTATAATCGTTTATAAACTGATGAATTCCTTCATTCGTAGTATCACAAAGATGTTTGTAGGTGACCTCGTGGAAACATCTCGACTTGTTATGAGTAAAAGCAATGAAACAGGACCTATAAGACCTTGTCACATCAGAGAGTCTTATCGTAGACTTAAGCTCCAAGGCAAATTCCCTCACAGATCTGTTCCACGGCTTTTCCGCTAAGTACTATTTTCTTAATCATGATTAAAGAACATTCATATGTTCCAAACACAACAAGGGACGAAGCTTAAGTCGTAAATTATTATGTACAATGTTCATAACCTGACTAAAAGATAATCGACATGCTTTTGGCAAGAACCACATAGTCTTTTGGCCAACAATTGGTACTTTCTTTAACGTTATGGGGACGGTAGTCTTGTTGATAAAAAGAGCGGCATGATAACGCTAACTTCCAAGGCACTTTGTTACCACCAGATCAGAACATTGCTATGTTTTGGGTTCTCGACTCTTGTCTTCTTTTGTTTCGCAGCATATTACATGAATTTGGACACTTATTTGTTTGGTAATTGTGGATACATAGTAGAACATTGCAACATAATTTGTCAAGATTTGTGGTTGTTGTTTATTTTGTGCAGTTCTGATTATGACTTCAAATCACATTGCAACGTTGACATCAGTGATCACGTTTCAGCAAATACGGTTGTAATCAAACGAAAATACCGGGTTTATGAATTACTTTAAGTTTATCATCAATGTATAGTAAGCTAAACTCTCTTCCATTTGCTTGACAATAACTTTTAAAAACTTCTGCACAAGTCTCAAACATCGATTGCGAATTCAAAGAGAAACGAGCACATGCACACTGAGATATATAATCAGAAGGGACCCAAAAGACCAAAAGAGTGTAGATTTATAATCATGTAGTTATATAAAAACCATTCATTTCTAGCTAACTTGTTGTTGAGAAATAAGAACAAGAAGTCCCTGTGGCCCAACCAAAATCTCACTAAGAAAACTCACAAGTCCAAACCAAACCACTGGAGTCACATCAACACCTGCAAGTGGTGGAATCACTTTCCTCGTCTGAACAAGTATTGGTTCAGTCGGAGCATAAGCCAAAACGTAAGGGAACTTCTCAACAGGAAGTTTTGGGTACCAAGACATGATAATTCTCAAGATGAAGAGAAACCCAAAAGCTGATAACGCAGGACCTAAGATACCAATTGCAAGCTTCGCAGTTTCTGGATCCAGATCTGCTACAGAGATGTAATGTACAATCTTTGAAATCGGTTCTGATGAGACGACAATACTTGAATTGAGGATGGTCGTTGTTGCGTCTGCTTCGATTTGGCTTAACGATGCTGAAACCACGGGACGTGACGTGGATCGATTTCGAATATTAGGACATGACCGTCGAGATTTCGCCTGAAAATGAATTTGAGAGATTTAGAGAGAAAACAGGTTATAGAATCGAGAGATTGATGAATCTTTCTCTCAGTTCTCTCACCTGGAGTAACGCAGGCGAGAAAAAAACTACTGTTGTCATCACAATCTCTCTGCAAGATGTCGATTTTGTCTCTGTTTTGTGGTTAAGAATGCAAACGCAGAAAATTGGGTTCAGGAGGATAATCTGATAATGCGAATGTGCTGACATGGAATATGAAAATCAGAAACTGAGTGATGATATATACGGTGGTTAAATACTGGTTTAGTCTGGTTTAGTGAAGTCTAAATTTGTGAATTGTTTTGGTTCACTTTGGTTCAGTTAATCTCTATAATATTATTTGAGATGTACATATTTTTAAGTACTCGAAAAAATCAATGTATTTACTGAAAATGCCATTACGTTTATGATTTAAATGTGTTTGGCAACATGTAATTTAGAGATAAAACGGGCGAGTTAACTGAGTTAACTCAGTAATAATGAATAGGACTGTAGCCAAACAAAAAAGTCTGACCCATTAGCCTATTAATAAACATGCAGATCCTCTCTTATTTAAATGAAACCGGCTTTTCTGATGCGGATTGAAAAAATAGAATTCGGTATTCAAACATAAGAATATCTCGGAGTAAATATATGGCAACTGCTAAATCAAATTTTTCAAAAATCACGTTAACAATATTCTAAATTCCTATAGACTACCTAGCATTAAACTCAGATTCTAACTACATATTCCTAACAAACCAATTTGATCAATATCATAAAATACCAGAATATTCTAATCAATCAACATATTTCTTCTTATGGCAATCTAATCAATATCATAGATTTAACAATATTTGTGTATAACTAATCTGTTCACTTATAGGCATGACGGATTTTAAAGATCTTGCTATAATAATTTAGATTGCAAAATATTGGAGGAAAAATTCATTCAAAAAGATCATCGACTAATTTAACTGACCACATATAAATAGAAGAGCGAGTTTAACATATCGTCATATCTTTCTACGCCTTCCTTCTGAAAATAGCTTCTAAAGTTCCAGTAACATCTGTTCAAAATATTAAGTCCTTCAAATCGAGTTGGAGGATTCAAGTCAAAATCCTGCACATTTGGAAGCAGTTTGCTTTCGCATCAGGAGAATCCATGGAAATGGTTTTAGTTGACAAAAAGGTATATTATCTAAAGATAATAAGCTTAAAATCGTTTGATGTTACCTAAAACGTTTCTACTATTTTAACAGGGTACGAGAATTCATTGTTCTATTAAGAAATAACACTTAAAGAGTTACGAGAAGCATCTATATATAGGAAGCTAGAAATTCATTGAAGAGTTCAACGTTAGTCATTCAATCGGCCAATACAGAAATACCAAACATTGTTACCGGATTAGTTTTGTGAAAGAGACAATTGTCTCTAATTCTGTAACTTTATCAGACTCTGATTTCTTGGACTTGGTCCGCTTCAGTCAAATTCATGAAGGCATACAGAATTAGAGCATTTTGCGTGGTTAGTAAAACTCTAAAACATTTTAAGAAGAAACGTATATTATATGATTTAGACGCCAGTTTTCTAACCTAATATCTTAAATTATGTTAGATGTTCTCGACCAAATAGTGAATGTGGGGCAACTGTCTACGATGCAAGTCAATAACAAGGAGGCAAAGAAGATTGACTTCGAACTCCGCGATGAGAAGTAAGTATTTCTTTTAATAAAGTTAAATCCGTATAATGTTAGTATTACCGAATTTGATTGCTTTAGATGCGTATATGTGTGGTTATTAATTGATTTACGTTCTGTTACTTCATTTTTAAAATTTTTGTTCTCACTGATATGCTGATAGGGTCAGGTTTTACCCAAATAAAACTACTGCAAGTGCACAGCAAAAGCAGTTGTAGTACAAGGGGTTATCGAATCCCAAGGGAGTAAGTCAACTACACTAAAGAGTTCAGGTTCGGATTAAGCTAAACGATAAGTAATGAATGTAATGCGAAATAACTAAAGTAATAAAAGCAAGTGGGCGTTTTTGAGACTGTTCTTAAAGTTCAGAAGGCTAAAGGCGCTAAGTCAGGACAGTTCGCAGGTTAAATCCGAGAGTGTAGAATGCATGCAATCAGGAATGAATTAAAACCGTCTTGAACATGAATCGCAAAGATATAACTAATCAATTTTCATTGAAGAAGTTATCTATGTCTAAATCACAGAGTTTCAAATCTCTTTGCAAACCCTAACAACCTAAACATGCAGTAATGATCAGGTTCAATTGTTCACAAAACTCCTAAGCAAAATCTCTTTGTACTAGGTCGTTTTGCTCATCAAATACTAGTTCAGGTGATTAATAATGCTCTCACATCTATCAAAAACCCAGGGTTTCGAAATCCAGATGATGTGTCTAAGAAATCGATATGAATGCAAGCACAGATGAAGAACCAATGAATTTCCTATAAGTTTTTAGCAATTCTACAAACTCTTCTTCAACCTTTGAAAAGCCCTAACTTAACTAACAAACTACTCAGACATGGTGATTTGAGAAAACATCATGAAAAGAATAGATTGCATAATAGAAATAAGAAGTAGAAATAAAGGAGTTCGAAATCTGTTCTGAAGGAGTCTGATTTGTCTCTCCAAAAGCTCTGCTACAAATCTCTCTCTAAAGCTCTCAAAAATAATAAGATACAAGATATCTGCCAAAAGAATGGCTGAAAAACCTAATATACAAGCTAAAACACGATATGGGGTCTTTTTGCAAAAACTGGAACTTCTGGGCCAAAACTGCAATTTCTTCCTAATCTTTTAAAAACAGGCCACGACCCCTTCCTTTCTGGGTGATGAGCATCACCAAAAGTGGTGACGAGCGTCACCCATATGCATACTTTCCTTCCCGAGTTGGATACTTCGTGGCTTCAACTTGTAATGCTCCAAAAAGCTCCAATATCTCCAGTTATGCTCCAGACATGCTATAACCTGCAAAGACTCTTCTAGGACTCTAAAAAGACCAAAAAGACTCAATAAAAAGAACTTATATCATGGTTAAAAACCATAAAAACCATGATATATCAACTCCCCCAGACTTAGCTTTTGCTTGCCCTCAAGCAAACATCAGACAAAGAATAAGGTCGAGGTTTGAAAACAAGAAACAATCAGTCAGTCATCAGGAACACCACACTAGTTAGAGCTTTCGAATCCACATACCACATAGTCAACACAAGATCAAATTTCAGTCTAATCATCACAAGCTTAGCAAATCTCTCAAGTCCAGTCCAAATCCCTTCAAGAAATCCGAAATTTCTACTGTCAACTCCTTATTTTTATCTAAGTGTGATATCTCATCAAAGTTTTATCATCTTAATCACTTTACAGACTCTTTTCCCTTCCTAACAACTGAACAAATAGATCTCAACACAACTCTCCTATTTTCTCTTCCCTTAATCTCTTCCTTTGGATATTTTCGATTTTTCACTTCTTTTTTTCTCAACTTTTACAGTCTAAGATATGGTGCTACTCAATACTTGTGTTCCTTGTGAGGAGACAGGTTCTTGAATGTGTTCACTACTGTTGTTCCTTGTGAGGAGACAGGGTCATGAATGCACCATTCTTTGGACTTAAACTTTTAAAAACTACATCAGGGAAGATCAAAGAGAGACTGTATCTTAACTTTATTGTCAGTGCTGAAAGAGAGAATCAAGATCGATAAGAATCAATCACCAAGACAAGAGGTTTAAAGTTCATTAAGGTGGAGCTAACAGCAAATTTTCCAGATTCTCTAAGAACCTAAACCTTCATTGCTAGACTGATCTACCTATGACTTTCAACTTAGTGAGACTTGTAATCAACTATTGTGGCAATGGTTCTTATCAGCAAAAACGTCTTATGGTTAGTTCCAAGAAAAACTGACAATTTCAAATTTTTAACTCTAGAAAAACAGGTTTTTGACTCAACTTTAAGACTCTATAAACATGACACAAAGCACACAACGTCAGTAACCACCTCCCCCAGACTTAAACAACATTGTCCCCAGTGTTATTAAGCCAAGAGTTGGTCAAAATGAAGCATGAGAACGTGTAAAACCAAGGTGGAAAAGTGGTACCTCGCGAAGGAGCTAGTGACGAGCGTCACCATCTCTGATACTCCAGAAATCGACATGTTGGATGTTTAAATGCTATGCCATCATGTGTACTCCAAAGTCAAACTGTAAGAGCACTCAAAACACACATCAAAACTTCCAAACGAAGCATAATCCATGGTGTAACAAGTTCACAAAACATCATCAAAGCAAACTGACAAACTGACTCTCCTTTTTTTAATTCTGTTTTTTTTTCATGTTTTTGGGTTTTTTTTAGCTATGTAATAGAAAACTAAACTAATATATGAAAAAGAAAACTTACTAGTGGGTTGCCTCCCACTAAGCGCTTGTTTAAAGTCATTAGCTCGACTTTGAATGCTGCTCAGACAGCTGGTGGAACAGAAGGTGGCAGTGAATGCTTTGGAGAAGAATGTCTCCTCATCCATGGTGGTTTGTAAGCAGTAGATGTATGAACACTTCCAAGGAAGTGAGGAACATCAGCAGAGTGGGTCGTGACTGTGGGTGGGATACTTCTTTTTCCTGCAGAATCATCAAAAGAAACTCCAAGCATTCTACGAGAATCTCGTTGCTTGCATAAGTGTGAAGCAGCTTTTTCACCTTTTAAATTCTTATTGATGAGATTAGGAGGTTTGGAACTGGTTCCAGGAAGTGCATACCTTTGCTTAGTTGCAGGTTTCTGGGTTGTGGAATGGTGAATTTTCGGATTGGCAACATATGATGGACTTGTAGCTGTAAAATCACGTTGCTGCTTTGTGTTCAGGTTGGTGACGAGCGTCACCAGGTCAGTGACGCTCGTCACTGACTCTGCAGTTCGAGTTGCTGCAGTTTTCCTACGGTTCAGCTCTGCAAGTCTTATCTCCATCACAAACACGTCTTCCTCCAGCAACTTGGCATTCATTAGAACCTCTTTTTCAAGCCCAGTCATGATGATATGATCCTCACTGCAATCTTCAAACCCAACAGCTTCTGCAGAAGTTTCAGATATTGGCTCTTCAACAGCCATCTTGCTCACTTGCCCAC